GTAGAATAAATCAGTTCATAATAAAAAAAATAAAATATGAAATCAAAGTTATGAACATTCAAATATCAAACAATAAATAAAAACTCAAGGAAAAACAAAACCTAATTTGAGGAAATTGAACTCCTTGATCTTCTATTGTTGATGGAACCTCAGTCTTGATCTCCAATAATGCCCAAAAGAGGGCTGCCACCAGCCTCTCAAAACTCCCCTCAATTCTGAATTTGGATGGGTATTTATAGAATTTTGGAAACCCTAATTGAAATAGAAGTAGGACTTGGAACAGAAATAGGAAATTGAATTTTGGATGCTGATTGCGTGGTGCTGACACTTCGGATTACATGTTGACACAAAAAATAGGAAATAAAATCTGATTCTGGACGTTTAGCGCATGGTGTCGACACCCAGATCATGTGTCGACACTACACCCATGTCGGGTTTTTGTCCTCCTTTTGCAATTTCTTCAATGGTAAAATAGCAGATTTGGCTCCTGACTTCTGGATTCTGCACAAGTTGATCCTCAATTTTCTGATCTCTTCAATTTACTTTTAAAAAATAAGATTTCTTCCAATTAAATCATTTCATACTCAAAGAATGAAAACTATGTAAAATCAAACAAAATCTCATAAAACTCATCCAAATATCAATAATATCAAAGTAAAAATTCCCTATTAATATGTATATAAATTTAGCTCATCAACTAAAATTCTCGAAAATTTGGGATATTACATTCCCCCCTCCTAAAATGGAGTTTTGTCCGCAAAACTCAAATTGAGGATCATTTCGAGTGGTGAACGGCTTCACACAATCCAAGACAAAACAAATGCCTCACCAACTCTTTATGAACAGAACATGGCCTACTACGCTTCCGTTGCGCTACTCTGATATCAAACCACAACTAATAATAAAAGTAGAACATCAACTACTTAATAGGATTTACCATGAAACAAGCTGCTAGAGGCTGGGGTGATATGGGAAGCACAAGGAATAAAAATAAATCCTGCCAAGGCTACAAAAGAACAGTTGTGGGATTACGCTATGAACGCAACACAAGATGAGTTGGCCAAGAATGGCATGGATTTAAAGATGAGTACAACAAAATTTTAAACTCTATCAAAGATGGATAAGCATCCAATGGATATATGGATCATGTTTAGCAAAACAATTGAAATCAAGAGATAGATTTTAGCAATTAACAAGAGTTAAAAGCTAGACCCATCAAATGACATATGAAATTTCCAGAATAGCATCAGAATGAAAATAGTGGAAAATATGAATGCTTGGAAGAATACTAGAACATAAGAGTGCAAGGTAGAATGCCTCAAAAATTCAGCAACAAAACGGCATTCACCAAGAATCAAGATCAAATTTAACCAAGCAGTCAAAATTGAGAGACAAGAGTTAACCATGAAACAGGCAATAGAATTCAGGGATTAGGCCCACAAAAGATATTTCAATAATGACAACCAAAACACGGATTCAAGAGCAGATATAACCAAGATGTCAAGATTTAGCACCCCAAGTAACACGAATTAATTAACAGAATAATCAATAGTGGGGATCAGGATACTTAGAAGATTACTGTCTTCTAATTAAAAGGGTAAACAAAATCAAAGCAACTAGATAAGAGAACCATTTCTCTTGGAACAAAACTCTAGGGCATCAGGTACTTCAAAGACTACCTTTTCACCTTGTAGCCCATGGAGACTAAGTAGATTTACAATCAAGTCATCTTAGGCATCCTAGAGTCAAGTCAAAGCTAAAACATTAAAAATACAAAGATTAACACTTGCAAGAGACAAGAATTAGGATGCCTCATATAAGTATTTTCTAATAATCATCACCCCTCCTAAAGAGGTGTCCATATGAGCAAAAATCAAAAATCAAGAAGATCAACAGGTATACTAAAACAAGAACTAGCAGAATATGCAGGATTTGAGCAAGAGCTATATACATAATTTGAATAAGAGCGAGGGTCAGGACAAGAATGGTTTTCAAGTACAATTCAAAATAGATTCCAAAAACCATGCAAGAATTAATTTCAGACAAGTATCAAGGTAATGAGGATTTCAATAATCATTATCCGTTTCCTTTGGATTTTAGTTTTAAGAACAAGTACAAAGCAATCTCAAGAAAGATTTAAGATGGATTTCAAGAGTTTCAAGCAGTTCCAGGTATCAAGAATGTAGAGCTTAGCAATAATAGAGATTTTAATTTTATGATAACTTGCCAATCTTCACAAAAATACGGCAATTTCAATTAAATTGATCACTATTTTTGATTAACCAATATAGAAAAATGAGCCACATGAAAAGACCATGAAGCTCCAAATGGAAAAAGTGAAACTTTACTATAAGACTTTCAAAAAGATAATGAGCAGCGGAATTACCAAGTTATCCAGCTCCTAAAACGCATCTAGAAAACACACAACATTTGCTAAAATAGCCTTGAATCTCTTACAAAGTAGAGGGTTGCCCATCTTCCACTGGTCATGTGACAAACAAAATAAATTTCTCAACCAGCTATATTGTAGAGACCAACAGGATCAATAACAAAAGATCTCTACAACTCCCCAGATTTTACAATGGTGGCAAAAGAGCATACAAAATTCTATTCAAGTAACAAGTCTAGACAAGTGCAGATTATCAAAAAATGACCAAGTTTCAAAATAAGGTCTTACGAACATGGCGGACAAGGTTAATTTCATGAATCTACATAGGGTATGAAGGTAGGAAACAAGAACAATCAGATTACCATCTCATCAAATGGATTAGCAAATTCAGGCAACATGAATCAGAATCATCCCTTTATATAACCCCATCACTCATCTCACCACAGTTCTAATATCTATTGGCCAGCCAAGTTTTAAACAAATCCTAGGTACTCAATTAAACCTAGGTAATTTAATTAAACCTAAACTCTAATACCACTCAATCTGGAGGTGCTTAATTTAATCCTAAGCTCTTAATTTAAACCTAAGCTCTGATATCACTAAATTTGTCACGCCCCAAAACCCAAAGCCGAGGACATGGTAGACACCGTACACTTGTAGAGGGTTCCACAAATGCACAAGGCTCGGAACTTTATTATACCACAATCTGATACCACAAAATCTGAAGATAAAATTATAAAATTTGCTCTGATATCATAAAATCTCCAAATAAAATCTAGCTTACAAGATCATGATTTATATCTAAAATCTATGTTCAATTTACAAGATGACTAGCCTTCTAACTCATCAGTCCCCTCGTTTTTCCCCGTCCTTAATTTCGCTTCTTGAAATGATGGACAAGGAAAAAACTATGAGATAACTCAGTAAGTAAATATGGATAGCCCTTAATTAAACTTATAGCACGCCAACCAGTATAATCACGAAAAACGGATACAATACGAGAATGAAATAGACGTCTGCTCTATAGGTCATGGCCAGTGTTATAAACCTCACTGGTAGGCACACGATTTACTAGTGTATAATCCCACTAGCAGGATAACAATCACATAAACGAACCGGTTCTATCAGTAATATGTCGACATGTGCTAGCGTTTATAAACCTCCCACTAGCGGGCACACGAATAACATGACCATATTGGAGACAAAACAGGCAGAAGTTAACAGGAAAATCATAATTCACAAATCATTTTCAGATCATCAGGGCAGTTAAGTAAACTCCAAGAAGGCATGCTCTAATCAATAAAAATAATAATAATTTCATTTCAAATCGATCATACTTGTGTAAAATGGGTTTAGTCCCGCCACCACTTCAAAAACAAGCTAAAATGTGCCTTAAAATGGGAAGGCGTTACCATAATTTACTTACCTCAAATCACATAACACAGAAAATTCACTCCAAATGTTGGGGTGACAGAACAATCAAGAACCTAACCAAAATATTCAAAAATTAATACCCATATAAAAAATACATAGTTAATCCTTTCTAATATTGCCAGTAATTAACCCCCATAATGCAATATTTATTTCCTTATTTTATTTTATTTCCTACTTTCCGAAAATTGAGCACTAAAATCAGGTTGTGCACATATACATACATATATATATATATATATACACACAAATACACACACACACACACACTAAAATCAGGTTGTGCACATATACATA